CCACCCGCCCTTTTTATTTCCCGCTTTCGATGGGTGTGTGCGTCCAGCTCGCTCTCATACGTTTGCATTCGGTCCTGTGTCCTACTGCAGTTTGAATCTCGTCAGCAGCGGCCCCGATGTGGTGTCTTCGCGTTCAAAAAAATCATCTGGCCAGTGTAAAGAGCGCCCGGCCTATATATATACACACACCTTTATAACAGTGTACATAATTATGTAGATATACATATAGGTATATATAAAAAATGTGTGTATATATATAACACAAACATACATACCTGCATGCATGCATGCATGCATGCATGCATACATACATACACACATACACATAAGGGCTTCGCCCTCTGCCGCTGGCCCCCTATTACTAGTGCCTGCGACCGCGTGGATAGCGCCGTGGGTGCTTCTCGTGGCAGGCTTCTCGGCAGCGTCTGCGGGTCATTGCTGGAGCTTGGAAGCCGTTTTGGGGCCTCTTGGGGCATATTTTGGGTCCCTCGGGGGTCTCCTCGGGGCCTCTTGGGGGCCTCTTGGGTGCGTTTTGGGGCCTCTTGGGACATTCTTGGTGCCTCCTGGGGCTCTCTCTGGGCGGAAAGGTCGAGTTCTCGGTGGACTCCCTCTTGGGCCTCTCTTGCGAACGTCTTAGGGCCCTTTGGGGTTGTCTGGGGCGCCTTTGGGACCGTCTTGCGGCGCCGTCATGGGAGCTTCTACGGCCGTCGTTGGGCGATCTTGGGAACCTTTTGGTCCGTCCCGGAGCGTCGGAAAGCCGAAAAGGCGAGAAGGCCAATAATTTTCAAACACGTTAGGAAATTGTTAGTTTTTGCTTGGTAGGGTCCTCTTGGGAACATGTTGAAACCATCTTGGGCCGTCTTGGGCTCCTGAGGCTCTCTTCGGAGCCTCTTCGGGCAATCTTGGAGGCCTCTCGGGCCGTTCTGGCGGCGCGGTGGCGTCACCATGAGAATCCTGGGGTGACCCCGAGCAGCGAGGATTTGAGGTTCCCCCCTCCCCCCGTTGGTTGTTTGGTGGCGCGGCGGGGTCCCCTAGCAGACAGTAAACAGGAGGCAGGAAACAGGACTGGAGAGACAAGAGGCCTAACAACAAATGACAACACATAACACACGACAGCAGATCGCACACACCTTTGCAGCCTTGTGCCCCCTGAGGGGGCCGGCGGATATACACACGCAATCTATGTACATACATATTTATATATATATATATACATATATATATACATACCATAGAAATGCACATGTATACATGGAGCGGTATATGTATACATGGGTATACATGGAGAGGTATATGTATGAATGGAGAGGTATATGTATACATGGAGAGGTAAACAAGACGACCCGCGTATACATTGATGCACATGTATTTATGGGTCGTCGTCAGAACCATTCCCACTCTGGGCGGGACAGGGTGGATTAGCTGATCCAGCGTACTCCTCTAGGTGGGACGGGTGCCGCGAAGCCCCCAGGCGAGGGCACTCGTCCCCAGTGGGTGGGGGTGTGGTCGAATCCAGTTGTTTGCGGCAAGCCCCGCCGCCGTGCCAGTCCAGCAGCCTCGGCGGGAGCTGTTCGAACCGACGAGGACGACGTGACGGTGCCGATGAGATGACGAGGAGGACAAGAAGAGGATGAGGAGGACTGTGGGGATGGAGAGCACGATGATGGTGAATGATAATGGTGATGTTGATGATGACGAACAGGACGAGAGCCAGGACGATGAGGGCGAGGCTGGTGTGGATGATCTTGATGATGGCGATGATGATGGTGGTGATGATGATGGTGTTGATCATGATTAAGCTGATGCTTAAGATGATGATGATGCTGATGATGATGGTGATCATGATCCTGATGATATTGATGATGATGAGGATGATCGTCATCCTGATCATGATCGTGATGATGAGGTGGATGAGGATGAGGATGAGGATGATGATGCTGATGATGATGATGGTGGTGATGGTGGTGATGATGAAGATGGTGATGATGATCATGATTATGCTCATGATGATGGTGGTGATGATGCTGATGATGATGCTGATGCTGATACTATTGAGGCTGCTGGTGATGCTGATGATAATGATGCTGATGCTGATCCTGATGCTGATGAAGATGCTGATGATGATGGTGATGATGATGATGATTATGAGTATGATTATGATTATGATGATGATGATGATGACGCTGATGATGATGATGATGATGATGATGATGATGATGATGATGATGAGGACGAGGACGAGGATGAGGATGATGACGATGACGATGACGATGATGATGATGATGATGATGAGGGTGGTGGTGATGATGATGATGATGATGATGATGATGATGATGATGATGATGATGGTGGTGGTGGTGGTGGTGGTGGTGGTGGTGGTGGTGGTGGTGGTGGTGATGATGATGATGATGATGATGATGATGATGATGGTGATGATGGTGATGATGATGATGATTATTATTATTATTGTTATCATTATTATTATGATGAGGCGGCGGAGGGGGAGGAGGAAGAGGAGGAGGAGGAACAGGAGCAGGAGCAGGAGCAGGAGCAGGCGGAGGAGGAGGAGGAGGAGGAGGAGAAGAGGAGAGCCGTCACATGTAACACCTTCGTCTTCACTTCTCGAGGAGCTCTCATGGACCTCATTTGGGCCGTCTTGGCCCTCTTTGGCCGTCTTGGGGCCTTTCTAGGCCGTCTTGGGGCTCTCTCTTGGGCCGTCTTGGGCTCTTGGGAGGGTGTCTTGGGGCCGTGGTGTGACCATCTTGGCGCCGTCTTGGGCCGTTAAGGGGCCCTCTGAGGCCATTCCAGGGGTCCTCTACAGCGAGCTTTGGGCCGTCTTGGAGGCCTCTTGGGCCATCGGCCATCTTGGAACTCTCATGCGGGCCTATTGGTCTTGGGCCATCTTCAGCTGACGGAAACCCGAGAAGGCGAAAATGCGACAGCCTTTTGAAAACCATAGAAATCATTGATTTCGGTTTCTTCGGACCAATTTGAAGCTCCTCTTGCGGCCCTCTTCGGGCCTCTAGCAGGCATCCTGGGCCGTCTTTAGGCCACCTTGGCGGCCTCGGTTGCTTCCCTGGGCCGTCTTCGAAGCTCGGGACGCAGACCGATCTTTTTACAAGGGATCGTGGCCCAGGGAGCCTCGGGATAGGGTGGCAATGCATGCGGATCATGCGGGTAGACGGGAAGTGGTCACTTTATAGAATACTTATACGACCACCCTTCGGGTGATAAGGAGGTTCGGGGGGGGGGGAACCAACGTCTCACTCGATCGGTCTCACTATCGATCTCAGTATCGATCTCACTATCGGTCTCGCTCGATCGATCTCACTCGATCGATCTCACAATCGATCTCACTCGATCTATCTCATTCGATCGATCTCACAATTGATCTCACAATCGATCTCACAATCGATCACACAATCGATCTCACATTCGGTCTCAATATCGATCTCACTATCGATATCACAATCGTTCTCACCATCAACGTCATCATCATCATCATCATCATCATCATCATCATCATCATCCTCATCCTCATCCTCGTCCTCATCAACATCATCAACCTCAACATCATCACCAACACCGTCATCATCATGAGGACACCGTCATCATCATCATCATCATCATCATCATCATCATCATCATCATTATCATCATCATCATAAACATCATCATCAACGTCAGCATCATCATCGGGACAACATCATCATCATCACCATCATCATCAACATCATCATCCTCATCATCATCATCGGGACACAGTCATCGTCATCATCATCAGCAGCATCATCATAATCATCATAATCGGGACACCATCATGATCACCATCGTTCTCATCATCAACATTATCATCAACATCGTCATCATCCTCGGGACACCATCATCATGATCATCGCATCAGCATCATCGACAACATCATCATCATTGGGGCACCATCATCATCATGAGCAACATTATCATCAACATGAACATGGTCATTATCATTATTACCATCATCGGGACACCATCAGCATCACCATCATCATCATCACCATCATCATCATCATCATCGTCAGCATCATCATCGGGACACCATAATCATCATCAACATCATCATCATCAACATCATTGTCGCCAGGACACCATTTCCATCAACACCATCATCACCAACATCATCGGAATCATCATCATCATCATCATCATCATCGGGACACCATCATCGTCATCATCATCAACATAATCATCATGAGCATCATCATCCTCATCACCGGGACACTATCATCATCATCGACACCATCATCAACATCATCATCTTCATCGGGACACCATCGTCATCATCTCATCATCATCATCATCATCATCATCAGCAGCAGCAGCATCATCATCATCATCATCATCATCATCATCATCATCATCTCATCATCATCATCCTCGCGGGACACCGCGGGACACCGCGGGACACCGCGGGACACCGGCGGGACACCGCGGGCCACCGGCCGCCCGGAAGGGAGTCATTTGGTCCGGCCGCGCCTCAGCCACAGGAGGACACCGCGGGACACTGGCGGGACACCGCGGGCCACTGGCCGCCCGGAAGGGAGTCATTTGGTCCGGCCGCGCCTCAGCCACAGGAGACTTTCTCTCGCCCGCCCACGCAGCTTCGCCTCGCCCGCACGGCACGCACGAACACGAAACCGAAATCGATTTCCCAGTAGGAGGGCTCTCCGTTCCACTTCGATCTCACCCCCTCACCTCCGACAGAAGCCCTAGCAGACAGCCCTTGGCATTCTTCCACGCCTCGACGTGCACAACGCATGGTGGCGGATCTCCCTCCCTCCCCCTCTCTGTATTTGTATGCACAGACCGACAGAGGCAGACAGACAGACATACATGCATCCGCACAAGCACCTTTCTTGTGCCCAGTAGTTGGTCTAGACGTATGTATCTATATATATATATATATATATATGGAGAAGCATGCATGCATGCATATATACACATATAAGGGTGTCCCCCCTGAGGTCGCGAGCCTCATCGCCGGGAGCGCCGCCTCCCGCAGGCTGGACGCGCGCGCGCCGTGCTCTTGCGGGCTTCCAGGGGCGCGCCGGGGGGGAAGTCATGGCAGGGCGGGCCCAAGACACCGAGTGGGCGAGTCCCAAATTGTTTGTGCCCCATCATCCTTCCTGTCACGACGTGCACCGAGAGGCGCGCGAAGAGATTGTCTGGCGTGAGTCGCGCAGCCTCGTGCTTCAAACACCACCGCGCACCCTTCCCAATCTTGCTTCCCGGAAGTTTGGGAGTTTCGGTTTCGAGGTTACAGGTTTTCGGGCGTTTTCGTAGGTTCTCGGCTGTTATCCAGCCTGGGGATGCGTTGCAGCGGCTGCGCCTCGCCGAGTGCATTCCAGGGGTGCCCGGTTCGTCCCGAACGGCCGCCGGAGAGCCGAGCTATGGTCCGCAAGTGGGGGGGGGCAACGTGAGATGGGGCAGGCTTTCTCAGAAGGCGGTGGGATTCCTCAACAGCTCTCGGGCCTTCTGAGAAGCTCCCGTGGATTCGGGGAAGTCTTGGAACGCTTCTCAGAAGGCCAGAGGTCTTCCGATCCTTGTGAGAAGGCCCACCCCCTTTCACTTCCCCCCTGGGCCCGCCGCTGATCGTCGCCACGGGTGGACGAGGCTCGAAATCGGGATCAGAGAAAGTAGGGGCAACGTCAGGCGAGGAGGGGGGGCGAGGGGATAGATTCAGGGGGGATACATCGACTTCTCATGGGTGCCTTGTAGCCCACCCCGCCCAGTAGCGTTCGGGTTCGCTAAGGTCAACGCCCCGACGGTAGTGTTTCGAGTGGGGTCCGTTCATCCATGGCGGCGACGAGGGGGCCCACGAAGGCCGAAAGACTGTACCATGGTTTCTCGGTCTTCGGGAGCCTCACGCTCCATGCGCCGCGCAGCCAGGCCCAGCGGCTTCTGGCCTCGCCCGCAGCTCCGCAGCGCAAGCCAGGGCTGGCTTGAACTTGTCCCCGGTGTCGCCTCGGCACCGGGCGCCCGCAGACGGCCTTCGATTCTTTTTCGCCGGCGCCTTCTTGGAGGGCCCGTTTCGACAATCCATGGAAACGAGGAGGTCGGGAGGGCCCAGGACCCGGATAAAAATCGCTAGAGAGATTTCTGATGCGCTCTCACAGCGTTCCAGAGCGCTCCAGAAGGGCCGCGGCGTCCAGTACATCCTCCAGGACTGCCAGATCCATGATATTGTCCCGAGCTGTCCCCGTTCGATGTTGCCCCAGTCCAGATTTCGTCTTTAGAGGAGGAGGAGGAGAAGGAGGAGGAGGAGGAGGAAGGAGAAGGGAGGAGGAGGAGGAGGAGGAGGAGGAGGAGGAGGGAAGAGAGAGAGAGGAGGAGACGGAGGAGGAGGAGACGGAGGAGGAAGAGGAGGAGGAGAAGGAGTAGGAGGAGGAGGAAGAGGAGGAAGAGGAGTGGGAGGAGGAACACTGGGAGAAGCAGGAGGCCTTTCCCCATCCCAGTCTGCGCGCCTTCAAGCAGGAACAGCACCGCCGTCCACGCGAAGATCGCGTCCAAGGGGTCAAGCGAGGCCACCGCGGCCGTCGCTGCCATCAACGCCGTGGAGCAGGCCCTCGCCAAGCTGACGTCCAACCCTCGGATGAGCCCAGAGATGGTCGGCGCCGCCAAGAAGGTCAGAGGAGGAAACGATACCGATACCGCTGCATGTTCTAGAGAGTCTTCGTCGCCACGGCTGGACTCTTCTCGAGATGTTGGTCAGAACGCAGCCCAGGAGTGGCCCGTGAAGTAGCAGTATCGGTGCCCTTAGGCCCCCCCAGAAGATGTCCCAAAGGAACCACACGATTCTGCGCTGGCTGGCGCGCTTGAATTTGGGCCCCCCCCGCCCCCTGCGGCCCCTCAAGCCGCGCACCAAGGGTCATTATTGCGTAGGGTCACTCTGACTCTTGCGTGCAGCCGAAAGGTGACGCAGGAGGCGGAGCAGGCCGCGAAAGAGATCGAGTCGGTGAACACCTCGAAGGCCGAGAAGATGAAACTCGTTGGCCACGCCATCACGTCGCTGCAGAGCCTCCAGGGGACGTGGGAGAAGGCAGCCAAGGACGCCCTCGCGAGGGACGGGAGGAGCAGGGAGGTGAGATGGGGAAGGAGGCGAGAAAGGCATCGAGGCAGGCAGCACGTTTCAGACAGGCGGGCACACTGTCGAATAAGAAGAGGAGACAGGAGGAGAACCAGTGGAGCTCACGGGTACTTGAACACAATGTTGAGGACCGAGCCATTTACATATAAGACCTTCCAGACAAGGACATTTGGAGTAATGACGTATGGAGTCGAGGTCAGTGCCTTCCTCAGGGCAAGCACATCCAAAAAGACAGCCAGCGGCAGGCGAGTGAAAGCGTGCCGTAGGATTGCTCGCTCCCGTCAACAGCCGAAGAGGAACCACTCCAATGTACATGAATATGGGAGGACTTAACCTCCGGCCAGAAGTAGTGAGCGCGTCGTAGTAGGACAGGTTGAACATGTTCAGAATGTTCTTGATCCTGGAGAAAGCGGTAGAGTTTGGCTTGGAGAGGAGACGAAGAGGGCATGATACCAGAGGGTAGGCCAGAGTATCATTCCCGAATATTCTGAAGGTGTCCACGAAACCACGATTGATGCCAACCGCGGAGCCACCTATACGGAAGATGTTCAGGCTCATCGCGGGCTTGATCGAGCTCCTCGAAGATCCCAGGGAGAGATGCCGACCGAGGCTGGGGAGGGAGGGCGATGGGGAGGAAGAAGAAGGAATGGGGAGGGACGAGGAGGACAAGGGGGGAGGAGGGAGGGCGAGGAGGTTTGAAGGATGATGGGAAGCGCCTTCTCACTACGAGAAGGTGATGGGAGTTATCTAGGCCACGCCAAGTAAGAAACTAATAGAGAACTAAGACGCGAGGGACCACTGGCCCGTGAGTGCAAATTGTTTTTTCGGGCGGCGGATGACAGGAAGCGCCTCCTCGGAACGAGAAGGTGATGGGAGTTGGTTAGAGGAAGTCGATTAAGGAATCCATGCGTAACTAAGACGTGGGGGACAAGTAGTTCGGCATCAAACAAGCTGTTCGTTCGGCAGATGACGGGAAGCGTCTTTAAGTAACGAGAAGCGAGCTGACGTTTCTGGCTGAATGCTTTCAGCATCTCTAAAACTATTTACAACTACATACCGTGGCGGGCTACATCTTATCTAACCTTGGTGTATTAGTGTATTATGTTTACGAATAGCCCGCCTGAAACATCCTCACACCCAGCGAGGTGTTCGCAACATCGTCTTTTACAAAAATAGCGGCTCGCTCGATACATCGTCCACAGTTGGGCCCGTTGATTTTGGTTTGGGCATCACAATGGGCGTTTCGCCTGAGACGTCCGCGATCTAATAGGATGTCGACAGAGTTGCTGTATTGCTTCTCATGTGGAAAAAAAAGACGCTCCCGCTCGAGGCATGCCCAGGCAATGAACAGCGCGGGGGCCGCCGAGAGCAGCGCAACGGCGGCCGGGGGCAACCCGGGGCGGCCGGGTGCCTTCGGTTTGGGCAAGGGGCTACGTCTCGCAGGCCAGAGGGAGTTTAATTAGATGTTTTGGGGGATTCCCCCAAAAAACAATTACCCTGGCGAAAGACCCAACCATGCGCAATTGTGAATACCGCGTTGTGGGTACCGCTTTCGGTGGAGCTCCACATGGGGCCACGAACCGTGTGAGGAGTGTGGTGTGCAAAACCGAGCGTCGGGCGCATGCGGACCCTGCCACTGGAGCCTTCGGTGGAGCTCCCTGTGGGGCCACGACCCGTGTGAGGGGTGTGCCGAAATGGATGGCGGTCCCCGCATGCGCACCCTGCCGCTGGGGCCTTCGGTGGAGCTCCTTGTGGGGCCACTAACCGTGTGAGGGGTGTGCCAAAATAGGTGGCGGTCCCCGCATGCGGACCTTGCCTTTGGGGCCTTCGGTGGAGCTCCCTGTGGGGCCACGAACCGTGTGGGGGGTGTGCGGAGATGGGTGGCGGCCCCCGCAGCCGCCCCCTGCCAATGGGGCCTTCGGTGGAGCTCCTTGTGGGGCCACGAACCGTGTGAGGGGTGTGCCGAAATGGGCGGCGGTCCCCGCATGCAGACCCTGCCGCTGGGGCTTCCGGTGGAGCTCCCCGTGGGGCCACGAACCGTGTAAGGGTTTGCTGACATGGGTGGCGGCCCCCGCATGCGGACCCTGCCACTGGAGCCTTCGGTGGAGCTCCCTGTGGGGCCACGAACCGTGTGAGGGGTGAGCCGAAATAGGTGGCGGTCCCCGCATGCAGACCCTGCCGCTGTGGTCTTCGGTGGAGCTCCCTGTGGGGCCACGAACAGTTTGAGGGGTGTACCAAAATGAGTGGCGGCCCCTGCATGCGCACCCACGGGGGCCTTCGGTGGAGCTCCCTGTGAGGCCACGAACCGTGTGAGGGGTGTGCCGAAATGGGTGGCGGTCCCCGCGTGCGGACCCTGCCGCTGGGGCCTTTGGTGGAGCTCCCTGTGGACCCACGAACCGTGTGGGGGGGGTGTGCCGAAATGGTTGGCGGTCCCCGCATGCGGCCTGTACCATTGGGGCCTTCGGTGGAGCTCCTTGTGGGGCCACGAATTGTGTGAGGGGTGCGCCGACATGTGTGGCGGTCCCCGCATGCGATGGGTCCAGGTCACAGCCGGTCGGGTGGGACCACAACCGGGCGGGTGAGATCCCAACCGTCCAAAGCCCCAGGCACGGTCAGATCCCAACCGAGGAGGAAGCGAATACAGGAAACATTATCATTGTTCCCCACATCCAAAGTGGGATTCTTGTTTTCGCTGGACACCCCGCGCAGGAACAGGAACCCACCATCATCATCACTCATTCCTCACTCACTCACTCATCATCCCTCACACTCACTCACTCACTCACTCACTCACTCACTGACTCACTCACAGACTCATCAGCACTCACATATGATGATGATGAGTGTGCGCGTGAGAGAGTGTGATGATGATCATCA